ATGACTATGTGAACCTGCCACGACGTTCTCAGTGTCGCGAAAATGAAATGACATTTGTCACCCGTAGACCTGCAGGTCCAACTGTAGCTAGCAGCAAGGTGTGGGGTGTCAATCCCAATATAGATCTATATACAAGTATCACGTTCTCCCTCAAGGAGATTCTGATTATAACTACCAGGAATTATATCCCGCACTCGGACGTACGGGGAGAGAGAGAGAGAAAAAATAGAGAAACTCACAATATAGGATAACAAGTTTACGTGAAATGTGTGTGAATATAAATCTTTCTTGTATGAATGTACCCTTCTTGTACGAGTGCGTAGAGTGATGTATCATAAACTATACCTATTATAGTTTATCTAAAATGTATGTACTATGTATGAACTCTTTTATGGAAAAGTATTAGTGTTGTGAATTTATTGACTATACTTTTTATAGTTTAATAGCACGTGTTCCAAAATGAATGAATAATATTTAATATGAATGTTTTAGTTTCAGTTCATAATGATAAACTAGCAAGGAAACACATTCAAATATTAGAACTTATGATTATACACTTTGCTCAACATAATACAAAGTGTTATGATATTTACATGCTGTTGGCAAAATTTAGCAATTCTGCCCTGTTTTGGAAAAATCATAGAAAAATCATACGAAGTCGAAAACTAGATCCGTAATTTCTGAGAGTTCACAAAATGTGTCTAGTTTGCTCATAATTTTTATCACAATTTATAATGACCTCTAACTTGGGTGAATAAGTCCATAATCACAGACTGGTCCGGATTGTTGTTTGAAATGATAGGCAGTTTTGTAAAAATCACCATAAATTGTAGAAAAATCGTATGGAGATGTGCAAGTAGCCATTTTAAAGCTAAAAACTTGAACTATTTGCACCTTGTACAGTTTTGAAAACAAAAGTGTTTAAGATGCCCAAAACAGTCCGTGAATGGAGTTGAACTTTTCTGATGAAGGCTGTTAGAAAATTTAGATATGTTCTTAGTGTTTTAACTTGTATTCCCCCCCTGAAAACTTGAGAAAACATGAAAATGTAGGGGTATGAACTCACCTTAAGTGATTCCAGTAGGTAAGTGTTGAAGAAGGAAAGTGTTCAACCCAAGAACACTTGAAGAATCACTTGAAGATTCGAAGATCTAACACAATTATGAGAGAGTTTGTCTAAGATATCCATGATTTGAGTGGAAATAAATGAGATAATCATAAAGAGAATGGATTATGCTTACCAAATGTGGAGGAAAAACTCAAGATCAGCCCTTGAATCTCGAATTTCTAGAGAGAGAAAGTGAGAGAGGAAAGAGTTTGATCTTCTTGTGAAATGAGAGCAAATGAGAGAAGTGAGGAGAGAGGATGAATAATCAGCCCTCAAAAACGTGGGGAGGAGGGATAATTGAGTGGAAAAGACATTGATGTGACCTAGGTAAGGTGGAGAGGTGTGGTTAGTCAAAGAGTGGGTGTGGGGTGGTTGCTTGTGACTTTGGATAAGGCAAAGTCAACACTCCACCTTTAATAATTCATCCATTTGATTTTTATTATTTAAATAATGATTTTCATCAAAATATGTTTAAATTATGAATATTTAGAGTTTATTATGTTAAAATATAATTTCTGGAGAAAATCCCGCTTTAAAATCACGAAAAACGGGCTTAAAATGTTAAAAATATCAAAAATGGGCTAAAAATGACACATGCGAATTTCTGGCCGAGGCTCGGCCTCTTATGCTGAACCGAGAGAGAGAGGGAGGCGGAAACCGAGAGAAGAAGAAGAGAGAAGGAAGGAGCCGAGAGGGGAGAAGGGAGAGGGTAGGAACCGAGAGGTGGAGGGGACAGAGAGGCGCGCGAGACAGAGAGTGAGAAGGAGAACAGAGAGGCGAAGCGGAGCAGAGAGTGGGACGCGGACAGGAGTGGGACGCGAACAGAGAGCGAGTAGCGAACCGAGAGCGAACAGAGACAGACAGCGAACAGAGCGTGTAGCGAACAGAGAGCGAGACAGCGAACAGAGCGTGGGACGGACCGAGGGACGACCGCTCGGTTGTGAACAGTACTCTCGGTTCGGCTTGCTTCTTGGGTTCGGTCTCGGTTCTCTTAGCCACCAGAGGCTCGGTTGGTGAATAGTAGCTTCGGTTCTCTTAGCCACCAGAGGCTCGGTTGGTCCTAAGAAGCCTCTCATTCCGGTTTCGGTTCCTAAAGCCTATTTTTCTCGTTTTCGCCCCGTTTTAAGCCGTTTTTGACCCGGTTAAGGGCCGGAATGACCCGACTGATTCCAAAAAGTTACGGGAAACTTTTGAGAGAGATTTGGGAGAGATTTCTCACACTTGGAGAGATTTGGGAGAGATTTGACATTCTTGGAGAGATTTCTCATACAAAGAGATATTTGAGAGAGATTTCACATACTTAGAGGGATTTGGGAGAGATTTGACATTCTTGGAGAGATTTCTCATACAGAGAGATATTTGAGAGAGATTTACATACTTAGAGGGATTTGGGAGAGATTTGACATTCTTGGAGAGATTTCTCATACAGAGAGATATTTGGAGAGATTTCACATACGTGGAGAGATTTGGGAGAGATTTGACATTCTTGGAGAGATTTCTCATACAGAGAGATATTTGGGAGAGATTTCACATACGTGGAGAGATTTGGGAGAGATTTGACATTCTTGGAGAGATTTATCATACAAAGAGATATTTGAGAGAGGTTTCACATACTTAGAGGGATTTGGGAGAGATTTGACATTCTTGGAGAGATTTCTCATACAGAGAGATATTTGGGAGAGATTTCACACACTTGGAGCGATTAGGGAGAGATTTGACATAGTCAGAGATAGAGTGAAAACGATTGAGAGGGGATCCATGTGTGACAATTGTGAGTGTCCGGCATCGCAATGCATGGTTCGTAAACCCTGTTAAGCCTTGTTTAAGGATCTTACACACTCCCGATGAGTATGCATCATTGTTTTATCAGTTTGGCTCGCCACGTAGTACAGTTTTTAGGTTAAAGAGATCTAGTTGTACGTACTTTTCGATTCATGTTTTCTTATTAGAGTAGCGACTTGTTTAGTAAATACTGAGCGTAAGTCCAAGCACACACGGGTTAGTGGAGCTGACCGGTTTGACTTGTTGACTTTATTTGACTTTGAATTGACCAGAATATGACGGTTGTCACATCATCCCCCGTTAAAGGGAATTTCGTCCCGAAATTTGCACTTCGAATGGGGATCCAGGAATTTAGAGGAAAGATGGGGATGACTTTTCGTAGTACAAGAATTTGATTATGGCGAGGAATAACTCGCCCGATGTCACATGATTACTACTATGCATGCTTTAATCGATGCTAGATTTATCATATAAAGAATTTCGGATTTAATAAAGAATTTCGGGATTTAAATGTCGATGTTAGAAACACGTACTGATATTTGCGGGCAGTTCCGGAGTGGTTTCTCCCTCGGTGATTGCAAACACCCTCCCACCACCACCAGCATCTCTTGTCCTTGGGCATTCCCTTTTAAAGTGTCCTGTTTCTCCACACTCGTAACAGGTTGGGCTTACTCTAGAGCCGGGTACCTGGTTGATAGGTCGTGCTGCTGCCTTACAGAAACGAGCAGTGTGCCCCTCTCTGTCGCAGTTTTTGCAATGCATCTTTCGGCAAGCCCCAGTGTGATGGAAGTTACACTTGTTGCATTTTGGAAGTGTTCCAGCGTATGGTTTCATGGGAGTTGGTGTGGTGAGGGTTGTGGCAGCATGAACAGCAAGGATCTGTTGCTTCCTAGCGAGGCCTTGGGTTGATTGGTCCTTCTTGTTGTCCCAAAACTTTCTTTCGTTGTTCCCTCCTCTTGCTTGGGTAAGGGTGGTTGTCATAGTGTCATGGTGGGCATGATGGTCAATGAGTTGTTGTGCTAACTCCTTGGCGCTGTCGAAGG